CTTGATTATGTATTGAATGAGCTCATTGAACTTATATCCTACAAAGGTACTAATGCGTTGTTACTCCGTATGTTAATTAAGGCATTTTCTAACCTGATCTGGTAACTTTGTAATAATAAAATACGTTGCAATACATTTATATTATCTAAAGGAAGACTGTCGTTTTTTAGTAATTTAGAGTTGGTATTAAATATGATAAATATTTTATATATATATTATATATAAAATATTTATCACAGATTAAATTGTTAATATGGTAAAGGTGCTTGTGTTCGAATTATTACGAATCCATCCCTTATTTTACTAAACGTATGCGTATGTATGAATGTGCGTCATAACATATTCTAGGAAATCAAAGTCGAGTAAATAAAGTCCAACGCAAGAAAGTTAAATTTTAAATAACTTCTTATTAAATATATGCTTATATGTCCATATTTTTTAAAGTTTATTTCAAATTCCAATTGTCATTATATTGCTAATAATACATTTTGCAAATTAAAAAGTCAGTATTTAATTTTATAGTGGGACACGCACATCATCAGGGGAGGTGTTGACTTTCTCCCCAAATTAAAATGTGGCGGTAATAGGAACAATAACAACTTTATTCCTGTTACCGACCTTTATCGCTGTTATGTTTTTGACGACTATTTTTCCATTTCCTTGTTGTAATGCATCTAATGCAATTTAATAAGTAGTGGGCTATACTAATTTCATTAGTTAGTATTTCAAGTTTAATTTGAGGTATTAGCGTCATATATTTAAGAGTATCGATAGCTGTGTAAATCAACTTTGTTCTTATGTAAATTTTTGATGATATAGGGTGTATAATTCTTCAATAATGTATTCTATTTGAGCTGTAAGACCTTGCTTTTTGTGCAATTTCGTGATTTTAGGTAAACCCGAACTACTATATAGGTTTACGATCCAAAAGCTATGTGGTAGGTACCTTTGGTTGACCGAGAATTGAAAATTTTGGGTAAAAGCTAGGTCTTACAGCACAAGTGTTATTTTCTTGATTTTCGTCATTTATCTTTTCTTGTCAATCTATTCTTGCACTGGTCAGGCCTCTCATTAGAAACGCTTAGACATTTTTCTCCTTTTTTACTTTTAATCGTTTTCCTTTTAAACCGGCATCGAAAAGGAGGAGGTTATCAATTGGTATGTTTATATGTTTTTTTTAATGTATGTTCAAGCATAACTGCGTCATGTATTGAGGGATTTACAAAATAATCCGTTTAAATTTCATATAGATCTGATGATGAGTTTCTGAGATATAAACGGAACTCTTTAAAACCGACAGCAAACCAACCACGATTGCTGCTATCCCATGAATATGGATTGGTTTGCGCGATCACAAAACATAAAATCACCTCTGTACAGTCGAAAAGGTTAAGCAAACGTATTCAGTATAGCTGAGAACGCGAAAACGGCGTATTTACACAATTAAGACGCTGGTTTCGCGTTCTCAGCTATCATGTGTGCATTATAATGTCTACGTCTGACAGTAGGATAAATTCGAACTGCAACTTCATAGGCCATCTCAATCAACAGTATTAATTGATGTTCGCAAAGCAATTCCAATTGAGCCGTTGTTAATTCGCCAACGCGATTGTTAATCTTTGTAAATATATGTGTAGCCAAACGAGTGCGAATTAAACAAAGACGATTATTTTAATGTTATTGCTTTTTCGTCATTTAACCTACGTCATATATAGGATGTTTTTTATCAAACTACTACGCCGGGCTGGTAGCCTTCGACCTCCGAACCATAAATAACGCATGCACATCATGCTTGACTCTCTCAGCGAGGGTTCCATCCGATTCGCTGGTCTGATAGTAGCACACGGTCTTATATAGCAACTCAGATCTCCCATGAGCTGCACCATCGTTATTCTCAATATGCATTGTAACCGCTAAGTGGCATATACTTTCATTAGAGCAATGTAAACCGTAAGAAATATGACGACAGCAATGTGCATACATCAAGTATATGTATTTTTCTATGTGTGCGCAATATCTAAACCAGGATATTTAATTGTTTTTTGTTTTATATGAATCATGATTTCGTGGCATCCCCAAGCGCAGGCGCAGTCCCGACGGCATGAGTTAAGGCATGAGTCATTAATGAGTCGATGACTCCAACAGCTGATGGTCTACAACGCCCAATTAGGTTCGCGAAAGCGGGCTTAACATTTAATAATAATAAAACATCCATAACTATTGTGAAAACTATTTTGTGTTCAAATTACATAAGTGTAATTATAACGGTCAGAGCCAAGTGTACTACATTACAATTTAGGTTTCTCGTAATGTGAACTTTTGTGAAAAAATATGGTCAATTTGCGATCTATTTCTACTTAGCGTCTTTACGAACATTTACGATACAATATTTGTGCGGATACTCATTGCATCAAGGAATCATATTTGGGGATCTAGAAAGTAAGAACGTAGTATCAAATGAGACACGTGTTATAATGTACGAATAGTATTCGGGATACCATAGCCAAGCCAACAAATGCGATTTCCACGATAAACTACGGTCACAAAATACGTTAACCTATCTTTGGAATTTAATAAGATGCTATACAAGCGAACAGCATTATCACTGGCTACTTGCTACCTTAATTTTGATTAAAGATATGGGAGTTTTAAATTTGTTGTTGTTAAAATATATATTTCGTGTTTAAATGCTTATTGAAATAATTAACAGCTAATATATTAACAACTTGAACAAATTTATGTTTTGAGCTAATCTGTATCCAGTCTATGTCAACTTCCTCCTAAAAAAGAATTGTAGTTAATTGTGGATTATCATAAAAAGAATTTATTCGCAAAAAAGTTATACCTTCTACAGTTATTTAAATGATTAAATTACAATTATACATCGCCAACGGGCTTTAGTTACGTCTGTTGTAGTGTGTTCAGGCTGTGTGTGATGGTGCGTCATATTATATGCAATGCATTTTTAAATAAACATTAATTATTACAAATCTCACACTTCCCCGTGTGCGCAGTGTTTATAATAAAGGATCTTTAGCATTCGCTTCTCGCTTTAATATATAAGAAGATGACATTCACGGAATTTATTTTATACATAATTATGTGAAATGGTACCAAATCAATGAAAATAATGAAATGAAAAATGTTAATTAATATACAGGTTTACAGTAGTACATACTAACATGAGACGACTAATATCCTTTATAACGAGTAATATCCTTTCGTATTTTTGGAAGGATTATTGTACTTTTGGATGGCATCTTGTAATAAGCGTATTTCAGTGAAAAATTTGTTAATCTTGTCGCTAAAAAGCAATCAGCTACAATTATCGCTAATAAGCAAGTATCACGTTTATCTAATTTAAACATTGTCGCCGTTGCCGTCGCATCGAAATCGCTGAATGTAATATTTGATCGGACTGGTTTTTTGAATTTTTATCTTATTTTCCAAATCATCTTATATTTGTGATTATTTATTTTAACGGTATATTTAAATTTATACAATCATTACATATCAGTAACTAATTGAAGTTTGTAGAGCACAAGTTGTACGTCATCATTTAGATTGAGACCTATACTCGTATGTATTCACACAATGGGTAGTTTATAAATTGTGCGAACACGCGGACATGTCCGTGTTCGCACAATTTACCAAAATGTTAATACGCAGATTCATTCAGTGAACAGGAACTCACTTTAGCTATTTTAATGTAGTAAAAATTATTATTTAATATGTTAGTGATGAATTAAATGTCAAGGTTGTGCGCCGCAAGACGTGGCGCCTGTGACTTAGTATTTTCATCAATTAAGTATTTCATTCTAATGTTTAATAATAATAATATTTTAAAGAGTAATTTCATCTAGTAATTTACATCTCTACATTTTGCTAATTTTACAGGTGTGCAAAATAATACGTTCCCTAAAATGTCGTCAGTATACACGCTTAAAATCTGAATTATAATAATCATCATGTAATATAAAAGTATTTCTCTACGAGATCGAATCAGAAATGAGGAGATCCGTAGAAGAACTAGAGTTACCGACATAGCAGAGCGAGTCAGCAGGCTGAAGTGGCAGTGGGCAGGGCACATAGCTCGAAGAACCGATGGCCGTTGGGGCAAAAAGGTTCTCGAGTGGAGACCACGTGACGGCAAACGCAGCGTAGGAAGGCCTCCCACAAGGTGGACGGACGACCTAGCCAAGATCGCAGGGACGCGTTGGATGCAGGCCGCTAACGACCGGTCGAAGTGGAAGTCAATGGGGGAGGCCTATGTACAGCAGTGGACGTCCTACGGCTGATATGATGATGATGATGATGATGAATATAAAAGTGCCTTACAATAAAAATATTTAATAAAACAGAAATATAGTCTAATAATAAATCACAGCTACAAATAAGCTTTATAAAATTGGACGTTATAATTTTAATTCATGATTTTTTTTATTTAATAAAAGATGGATTACACTGTAACTTGTGTTTAATTTGCACATTGGTCTAACGCATTTTTCGCGACTAAATAGGTGTTTTGTCTTTCTTACTGCAATTTCCCCATTATTTATTATGATCTACCTAATAGCAATTCTAATGGGCATAATAAGCGGTTACAATGATTTAATAATTAGTATATTTTGTATACATATACAAAACCTAAGGTTATGATCAAAGTATTCAACTTTATTAAAGCTTGTTAATTTTCATTGTGGAAATTTGATAAAAGTAACATTTTCATCACCTTTAATGTATATTGATTTGCAGTTATAAGATGTAATATGTTTATGTTTAAGAATAATGAGTCGTTAATACCGTTACGAAAAACCGTTAATTCATGAACCTATTTATTTAAAAAAATCAATCATACTCAGATCTCAATACCGGATAAAATAGGAGCAAATTTTACAACACCAAATAAATACAGAATGGTTAAAGAACTAAAATAAAGTTCACTTTTACTTAAAAGGACCCTGATCTATTTAAGGGGAAATGAAAATAAACAAACTTACATTCATATTTCTTATTTTGATGAATTCAAAAGGGGTATGAGTATATTCGCAGTAACCATGAAATAAGACTTCTGTCACAGAACACAAACTTTCTTCGTAAATTTTTATATCACGCTCCGAGGACAATCAATTATTTTCTCTTGTACGACACAATACGCGCCTCCAGTACGACTGTCCGTAGTCGACTGCCGGAGTAAAACAGAAAAAAAACTAAACTTTCTCAAACGGCCGCGATTTTTGCGTGCTGGGCAGAGGGGAGAGCCGCGCAGCACACAACCGCACCGCTACTAACGTGCCAAACAATGCCTATCATGACATAATTTATTTCAAGTCAGCTGTTTTCCGTTTACTTTTCGTCCAATTATTACTTTCTCGGTAGACTGGATTCGATATTGGCATCCAAAACAGGAGCTACGTTCATCGGCCGTTAAACGAAGTTAAATCAAATCGAATAAATGTAGAGCGATTTTATGATGTATTGAATTCGATCATCTCTGTTAATATTCCACACAAACGACACAACTTAAATCAATATCCGCCACTGTTTAGTTTATCGTTTTTTTTCACGGTTTAGTTTATCGTTTTTTTTTATCTTTACCGCTAAACGATATATCACATAAAAAAGGAAATATCACACAAAATTTAAAAAGTATGGCAGTCCACGAGATTATGACACATTCGTTATACTGTGAACTCGATCAAAAAAGTTGATTTCTGAGTGCTATTTTTAAATTCCATGGAAATTTTATTAAAAAGTGAACCAGTGCAACCTGTATATGTAATGGCGAGATTAAAATTGTTTTATCATGAAATAAATTCATTCAGAGTGATTAAAATTTTGGGTCGGTCGGTCGGTCGGTCGGTCGGTCGGTCGGTCGGTCGGTCGGTCGGTCGGTCGGTCGGTCGGTCGGTCGGTCGGTCGGTCGGTCGGTCGGTCGGTCGGTCGGTCGGTCGGTCGGTCGGTCGGTCGGTCGGTCGGTCGGTCGGTCGGTCGGGTCGGTCGGTCGGTCGGTCGGTCGGTCGGTCGGTCGGTCGGTCGGTCGGTCGGTCGGTCGGTCGGTCGGTCGGTCGGTCGGTCGGTCGGTCGGTCGGTCGGTCGGTCGGTCGGGGTCGGTCGGTCGGTCGTTCGTCGTCGGTCGGTCGGTCGGTTCGGTCGGTTCGGTCGGTCGGTCGGTCGGTCGGTCGGTCGGTCGGTCGGTCGGTCGGTCGGGTCGGTCGGTCGGTCGGTCGGTCGGTCGGTCGGTCGGTCGGTCGGTCGGTCGGTCGGCCGGTTCGGTCGGTCGGTCGGTCGGTCGGTCGGTCGGTCGGTCGGTCGGTCGGTCGGTCGGTCGGTTCGGTCGGTGGGTCGGTCGGTCGGTCGGTCGGTCGGTCGGTCGGTCGGTCGGTCGGTCGGTCGGTTCGGTTCGGTCGGTCGGTCGGTCGGTCGGTCGGTTCGGTCGGTCGGTCGGTCGGTCGGTCGGTCGGTCGGTCGGTCGGTCGGTCGGTCGGTCGATTTTCGGTCGGTCGGTCGGTTCGGTCGGGGTCGGTCGGTCGGTCGGTTCGTTCGGTCGGTCGTCGGTCGGTTCGGTTTCGGTCGGTCGGTCGGTCGGTCGGTTCGGTCGGTCGGTTCGGTCGGTCGGTCGGTTCGGTTCGGTTCGGTTCGGTCGGTCGGTCGGTCGGTTCGGTCGGTCGGTTCGGTCGGTCGGTCGGTCGGTTCGGTCGGGTTCGGTTCGGTTCGGTTCGGTCGGTCGGTCGTTCGGTCGGTCGGTCGGTTTCGGTCGGTCGGTCGTCGGTCGGTCGGTCGGTCGGTCGGTCGGTTCGGTCGGTTCGGTTCGGTCGGTCGGTCGTTCGGTTCGGTCGGTCGGTCGGTCGGTCGGTTCGTTCGGTTCGGTCGGTCGGTCGGTCGGTCGGTCGGTTCGGTCGGTCGTCGGTCGGTCGGTCGGTCGGTCGGTCGGGACGGTCGGTCGGTCGGTCGGTCGGTCGGTCGGTCGTTCGGTTCGGTCGGTCGGTCGGTCGGTCGGTCGGTCGGTCGGGTCGGTCCGTCGGTCGGTCGGTCGGTCGGTCCGTCGGTCCGGTTCGGTCGGTCGGTCGGTCGGTCGGTCGGTCGGTCGGTCGGTCGGTCGGTCGGTCGGTCGGTCGGTCGGTCGGTCGGTCGGTCGGTCGGTCGGTCGGTCGGTCGGTCGGTCGGTCGGTCGGTCGGGTCGGTCGGTCGGTCGGTCGGTCGGTCGGTCGGTCGGTCGGTCGGTCGGTCGGTCGGTCGGTCGGTCGGTCGGTCGGTCGGTCGGTCGGTCGGTCGGTCGGTCGGTCGGTCGGTCGGTAAATCAGGGACTTTATTTCACGTGATTTTTAATTCTCTACTGCTTTTTAATTTGTTCTATTAGTTTTAAACCATTCACTATCTCTTTAGACCTTATCGTGACTGATATTCCTATTTGCTAAACATTATAATCTATATTTTACTATGTAACTACTTACTTGTCCTACTTTTCCCATCACCAATATTTTTATTTTTAATTTTGTTTTTTGTTTTAATTTCCATATATTAGTTATATTA